AGAAATATTTCTAGAGTCTGTCCCTGACATTCCTGCTGCAGCAAAGTGCATCAGACGTGATGTGAAGCTTACTTAGGGGCTCAGGGTTATAGGAACAGCCCCTCCTGTCTTCATGCCCCACAGCCAGCTCAAGGCCGAGATGGAAGGGGAAGCCCCCCTCCTGGCCGTGAGGCTGGCCCTCTGCCCTTGGCATGTCCCTGCCTCATGCTTGCAGCCGAATAGCAACTGTGCTCCTTGAGGCAGGGCTCCACGGGGCACGTTGTGGATTTACACTGTATTTAATGTGACCTGCACAACAACCCCAAGTTTGACACATGGACACTGTGTGACATGCACGGCCATCTGTCCCCGCACTTACGGGCCCCACGGGCTGTGCTATTTTCTAGTACACACTGGCTCGGGACCCCAAGCGGGGGATGAAAAGCCAGAGTGACCATGGCTGAGTGTCGAGAGTGAGCCACTGGCTGTTCTAAGTGCTCTTGGAGACTGTCTCTGTTAATTTTCTCCACACACTCAGGCAGGTCTGGGCTCATGTGCATCTTGATGCCCGGCTGAGGGGGGCGGTAGGGCTCCTTGCTCTTGGCCATCCTGGCTTTTGTTTTGCTTATACCACATCCAACCAGTTACCAAGACCTTCTGACTCTTCGTGGTCCTTCCATTTCTTCTCCATCCCCTCCAATGCGGTTTGAGCTCAGGCTGTGTTATTTCTCATTTTGTTTCACGCCATAGCTTGCTAGCTGGATTTCCTGCCTTTTATCATGTTCTCACAATCTGTTCTTCGCCCTGCTTCTCGATTGATCCCAATGTACATCCAGCCACCTTCCTCCCACCCACCCACTCACTCCATCCATCACCACCCCACAGGGGAGGCCCTGCCCTCCAGCCACACTCAGCCAGCTGGGTGTCCCTCCATACCTTCACACACACTGTCCCCTGGCTTTGGGCATCTCCACACTTGGTTCAGGGACCATTTCCTTTAAAAGGAGTGTGGCATCTTTGCACATGTCTGTTACCATTCTGTGCTGTAGATGCCAGGCTTCCCACTGACCAGTAGGCTGTGAGCCTCTGGAGGGCACGGCCAGGCTTTTGCCCAGCTTGGTGTCACCAGCACCTAGCACAATGCATGACCCCCAGGTGCTTGATAAGCAATTGCTGAACAAGTGGATGAGTGGGTGTGTTGGGCCAGGGACCCACAGACTGGGGGGGCGATGGGTGTTCAATGGCCACTCTGCTCCCCCACCCCCTGGTCCCCAGAGCATCAGCTAGCATGGTCACAATGCCTTCACCAGATGCATGTAGGTGCTCAGGAAAGTCTTGTGGCCAAAGACAGATGCAGGCAGGGTAGCTGGGCTGGCTGTGAGCAGGGATCCCTCCACAGCCCTATTCTCTGTTTTCAGGGGTCTCCCCCACACTCCCGGCCCTGGTGGTTTTCCAGCTGAAGATTCTGGCCAGGAATTGCCAATTCTCCTTCAGGAGCTGGGCACAGCAGAAGACTCAAGCCGAGATCCTCCTTTCTGGATTTTTTTTTTTTTTTGGACACCTTCATAATGTTGGTGGCATCGGTAAGAGAAACAATCGTCCTTGAGCTGGAAGCAAAATAGAAAAACCATCTAGTACATCTCCTATTATCCAGAGCCCATAACAGGAGATCCCCAGTTTTCCTTTGGTGATTCATCTAGCATCCTAGAGGCTAGCTCTGCATATGCCAAGCAGGATGGGGGATCACAGCAGTTATTGGAACCTTGGTCCCTGGGTAACTACGCAGAGGAAAGCTGTTCTACCCACTGATGTACCCCTTCCGCAGTGTTCCATGAGCAGGAAATAACCTTGGCTGTATTTGAGCCATTCAGTGATGTATGGGAAAGGGTCGGGGGGCAGTGGGATGGGTTTGCCCTGGGTAGGGGCCCTAGGGATGCATTTTTTGGTAGAGAATTTAAAAACAATAAAGCAGACTAGAAATCGGTTTGTTTTTATGGTCACCTAGCAGGAGCGATTCTAAACAATGTCAGTGATAAAGTCCTCTTCCCCATCAGCTCCCCCAGCCTGCTCGGTGCCCCCACCTCACTAGAGCCATTACACTGTTTTCTTTTGAAAGCTTTAGCATTCTTTATGATACTGGAATACAAGAACACATTTAGTAAGCCTGGAAGTTCTGCCCATCCAGAACGTAGGCCCCTCTGGGGAAGGAGGTCCCTGGAGCTTGCCTTTGTGCCCTGTACCCTGGCCTCAAGATTAGCGAGATTAGGCCAGACATTCATATTTGGGCCAAAGGTACCCAAAGCCAGCCTGGATATTGGGGAGTGAGCCAGGCTTGTTGAGGGACTGCCTAACAGGTGTGCTCCAAATGGGGTGCTGACGAACGAGCCCACCCCAGTTCTCTATCTTGGGGAATATCCATGGGAAGTCCCCTCAGAGAAGGCAGCAGGAACCACTCCTGAGGTGATACCACGCCGTGGTCACCAGAGAGGCTGCCGGTCCTGGGCAGTGGGAAGGCTTCTGCCGCGAGTTCCCGGACGTTCTGGAATGACCCCATGTGAAGGTGGGCTGCGTAACTTCAATTCCAAAGGCACCAAAGTAGGTTTGCTTTTTATTTTCCCCACACAATGCTTGGGACCGGAAGTAGCTCAGGTGCACCCAGGTAAGCAATAGGACACAGTGAGGAATAGGCCTCACCCCACAGGGCCCAACGGCGCTCTCCCCTCCCTCTTTGTATCCCCCAAACTCACTGTACTCGAGACTCCCTCTCATTGTCTCTGCTCAAACCCCACAGGGCCTCCCTGCTCAGACTGGGCCTGTTCTCACCTCAGGCCTTTGCACTGGCTCATCCTCTCACCTCATCAAAACCTTTGCTCAACATCCCCTTCTCGGGGCAGCTGATGGAGACCATCCTTGTTAAAATTGGACCCCATCGTGCTCCCACTTCTCCTGAGTCCCCCTTCCTTGTTCAGTTTTTTCTTCTTCTGACATGTTTCACCATCAAATAGATAATTGACTCCCTCCCCAAGTTTATGGTCAATCTCTCCCACTGGAATGGGAGCTTAAGAAAACGTACACCTTTGTATGTTTTATTCCCTGATGTATGCCAAGTTCGTGGAGCAGGTACTCAGTTAGTATTTGTTGAATGAAGAAAAAGAAACAAATAGAGCCCAGAGTGAGGCAGGCCCTTCCAGAGCATTGGTTTTGAGGTCTCGTTTCTGTTTTGCTTCTCTTGTTCTGCCTGCCCACCATGGAGGGGCCCTCTCAGCTTTCGGCACACCCAGCTCCCCTTCCTGCCAGTTAGGGTTAGTGTGTGCGTCTGTGGCCACAAGAGTAAAAGGCTGGGGCAAGTTGGTTCTGCAGAAAATCGGTTGATGGGGTCTCTCCCCAGCCCACCCCGTGACTTGGTTCAGCCTTGCAGCTCTGTCCTCCGGGTGCAGGAATAAGGGCCTCTTCTCAGACTGGCGCTCCCGGGGCAGGTCCTGCTCCCTCTATCCATCCTTACGCTCCCCACGTAGAGTGCGATTCTATCCTCCATGTCCTCCTGCTATGAGGTATGTGTGTGTGTGCGTGGGTGCATGAGAGAGAGAATGAGTGAGCAAGCAGAAGGACCCTCCCCATTCTCTCTTGTTCTTTGTGGCTCTTTTCTTATGCCCCCTCCCCAAGCCTCTTCCCCCAAGAGGGTGTTCTGGAAGACCATTCCTTGTTCTTGTCTTTGTACGCAGAGATTCTCTGTAATGAGAGCTTCACTCCGAGGACTGGGTTGCTGGAGGCTTAGGCATCATGAGAGTCGGGACTGCAGGGAGGGGCTTTCCCCCTGGATCCCTTTTCCATCCTGCCCCTCCGGGGTGTGACATCGGGGTGAGCTGCTCTGGCTGAAAGCTTGGTTTGGCAGAGGATCTCAGGAACCAGGCAATCTCTCTCGGGCTCAGTAGCTCTCCTGGCACCCCCACTTCTATTCTCTCTGCCATGTCCTATCAACTTCTAGGCCCCACCTCAGATCCCACCTCCTTTGTGATGTTCCACCTGCCATGAGCGGCCTCCCTCAGAAAGCCAAGAACATTCCCTTCATCTGACTGGTCGTCTTTCCTTCTTTTGCCTGGATCTTTCCTGCCTCTATCTGGTGTCCCCAGGAGACCAGGTTCTTCAAGGGCAAGATCCATCCAGCTCTAGTGTGCTTGGCATCTAGATTAGGGCCTTGTTCTGGTGGGACCTAAGCACTTGCCCGTGAGTGAAGGCACCTCCTTGGGGCCAGCTCCTGGGCATGGCACACAGTGGAGGGGTCAATCAGTATTTGTGGACTAGATGAAGACACCCTCCAGATACTGGCCCTTCCTTCCTGTGTCCAGTCTATTCAATTGCAACAATGCTTCCTGCAGACCTAGTATGTGTTGGTTGCCGTGAAGGCTATGGAAGTTGATAAGGCATGCTTTCTGCACCAAGGGGCTGTACCAGCCCCAGTGACTCGACTCTGAGAATGTAGGACACGCAGTAACAGGAAAGGCTGGAAGGGTTCACTCTACACGGGCTCACCCTGGAAAGATCAGCCAGGCATCCTCGTGGCCTCTTGGAGGGAAACGTGTAATCTGCTGGGAGGATGGGTCCGTCTACTTTATGGGACATGGGACCCTTGGCGTCTCAGGAATGTATATCTGCCCAAGTCCCCACTTGCCCATGTGGGATAATGACGGCAGTGGACTCACAGGGTAGGAGGGGAATTAGGGGCTTAAGAGCCGTGTCTAGGCCTGTGGGGTGGAAAAGGCAGCAAGGGGCAGGTTGACTGTGACACGGGGTCTCCTCCACATGCTTATTAAAGGAGACAAGTTTCAGCTTTCCTTCTCGGTCTGCCTAGCGGGAGATTCCCACGCTCATAAATGGGATTAATAACTTTCTCCCGCCTTTTATGTTGTTGGGAGGCCTGTCATCTACCCCATAAAAGGCAGGGGCATTGACAGGTCTCCAGCGTGAGACCTGAGCACTTCCATCCTCTCCGCCTTCCCCGCACTGCCTTGCACGGCAGAGGCATGGCGAGCCGTTCCTACCATCTCGGCTCCGACTCCGGGGTCAGGAACTTCAGCTCCTGCTCTGTGGTCGTGTCCAAGCCCTCGGCCCGTAGCTGCACGGGTGTCCTGGCCTCCCGCGGGGGCAGTCCTGGAGGTCCCAGCTACCGGCGCCTGGGGGGCTTCGGCAGCCGGAGCCTGTGTGCTCTGGGGTCCCCGAGGACAGCAGTGAGCTGTGGATGGCCCCTACGCAGCGGGAGCAGCTTCGGCTACCGGGTGGGGGGCCTCTTCAGGCCCAGCCCGCCCTGCATCACCAGCGTGTCTGTCAACGAGAGCCTCCTCACACCCCTCAACCTGGAGATCGACCCCAATGCGCAGTGTGTGAAGCACGAGGAGAAGGAGCAGATCAAGAATCTTAACAACAAGTTCGCTGCCTTCATCGACAAGGTGGGTCTGCGGGCTGCGCTCTGGGGAAGTGCCATGGGAATGGGCAAAGGACTTGGAGCCCAGAGATGAGCTGGGTTCACTCTGCGCCCCAGGCCTGCTACCCTTCAGCAGGTGGCCTTGAGAGCATGACTGAATCGGGCTCTTGGTTTCCATTGAAGCTGCTTCCCTGCCCAGCAAGACCTGAGAGTATGTCCATGGCATGTCTGCTAGGCTGGGGTCTGACCCCCCTCCTAGAGGAGATGCCACTACTTCCAGGGTGGACAGGGGAGCCAGGAAGAGGAGGAGCCAGAAGCTCATCTCCTGCTCCTTCCAGTGGGGACAGGGTAGGCAGGCTGTGAGTTCCACGACTTCTGCCCTGGGTGCGCTTCCCCACCTAATACGGACACAGATTAAAGACAGTGACTTGAGAAACTTCAGGGGAAGCCCCAGCAGGGGCTGTGGAATTGTGCTTTCCTGATGGTGCACTCTCTGAGCCCACTTTCTGGTTGGATGCCGGGCTCTGGTTTCCTCTGACTCGGTCGTGTTCCGTCTGAGAGCCTCTCTGTGGGAGGGCAGCCACACACAATGGTGTGCCTGTCTACGCCCAGGGACTTCGTAGGTGGACGCACACAGGGTGATGGTGCGTGGGAGCTTTGCTCTCAGACAAATGCCACCATCAGGAATGGGCATCTCTGTAAGCAAAGGGGCCCCAAATTTATTCTTTTTTTTTTTTGAAGATTTTATTTATTTGACAGACAGAGATCACAAGTAGGCAGAGAGGCAGGCAGAGAGAGAGGAGGAAGCAGGCTCCCTGCTGAGCAGAGAGCCCGATGTGGGGCTCGATCCCAAGACCCTGAGATCATGACCTGAGCCGAAGGCAGAGGCTCAACCCTCTGAGCCACTTAGACGCCCCCTACATCTATTCTTAACACACTGCCGGCTCTCCCCTGCTATCAGCACATCATGCAGTGTCTTCACTTCACAAGGACATGCACCAAGGGTGTGGGGTGGTGGGGGGACTTGAAATCCAGCCCATGCTCTGCTCACTGGGCTGTGTACCCTGGCAGGAGCCTGCATCTGCCTGGAGTGGCCTCCTTGCCTAATTTGCTCAAAAGCACAGTGAGGGCCCTGAGCATGCATGGACATTTGCACACGGCCTTCTGGGCAGCAGCACCCAGCTGTGAAGTCTCAGTTGTAAGCAGTACGTTCCAGTCACACTCCCTCCCCAGGCTGGCTTTCCCTCCCCTGAGGTGGCTGACAGCCCCCCCCACCTTTTCATAATGAGCTCTGGGTGTGTAAAGTGTATCTCCCAGGGTGGTTTAAGCCTGCAGAGCGGGCAAGCCAGAGAGTGGGTCTGCATGCGGCGACCCAGGGCAGTTGCCTTTGGTTAATTAGGGTTTGGTTTCTTTTTCCACAATAATAGGCAGTTGAAGTGTGCTTTCTTCCAGGTTTGTGCCCCCAGAAGATTACGGCTTGGGAGGAGATCACCTAGTGTAGGGCTGGCAAGGGCATGGGGCCTGGTAGGACCCGAATGAAGCCAAGCTGAGATGCATGCCTGCTGGAGGGGGAGCCGCTGAGACCCACCTTCAGACCCACGCCCAGCACCACCTGAGCCTCTGGTCTGTTAAGGTCACGGAGATCCAGACTCTTGCCGGAAATTACTCAGTTATTAAATGTTGACAACGAATTCAATTTCTATAAAGCAGTTTGCTGGTCAGATAAAACACGTGGGCAGGGCAGAAAAGGCCTGGGGCCTCCCTGTGTGATCTTGCTGATGTACGGCTGCTGCCTCAGTTTACCGGGAAGCTCAGAGAGAAGGAGGCACAGGGACCTGGTTAGGGGCAGAGTCAGCCAGTGGGAGGTCTCCTAACTCCCGGTCCGGGGCCCCCGCAACTGGGCTCTCACACCCCAGGATCAGAGTGAGGGAGAGTATGGTGGATGCATATTTAAATGCCCTAAGAATGCCCACAAACTGAGTAGCTTAAAACAACACGAATTTCTTATCTCCTGAGGCCGACATCAAGCTGTTGGCCCTAGGGGAGACCTGTTTTCAGGGAAGTGCAGGCTTTCGGCAGTATTGAGTTCCTCGCGATCGTAAGACTGAGGTCCCCATTCCCTTGCTGCTTGCTGCCAGAGCTGCTTCCGTTTCTAAAGGCCACTGGCATTGGTTGGCTCAGGCCCTTTCTCCCTCCACCTCCAAAGCTGGTGACCGCGGTGGTGGCTGTCTCAGGTTCTGAATCTCTCGTCCACCTCCTCCTTCCGTGACCCTCTCCACTTTCTGGTTCCTTGTCCACTTTAAAAAAGGCCCATTTGGTCCCTTGAGGCCATCTGGATAATTCCAGATCTCCTGATCTTCAACGCCATACCTAAATTCCAAGTACACAGTCCCTTTGGTCATGTAGCGTAACCTATTCCCAGGTTCCATGGATTAGGACGTGACCTTCTTTGATTTTGTGCCCTCGCCCCCATCCTGGCCTGGGGTGTTTTTGCAGGATCAGATGCTACTTCATTCTGTGCAGAAAACCACATCACACTCCTCTACGGGGAGATGGGGATAGGGTGAGGGAACACGACTGGGGGAAGAGCTGTGACCTGCGCTTCCAGGCTTTGCCAAATGATTTGGACTTTGGGGGAAGGTCACAGGCTGCTGCAGGTCAGGGGCTCTCCCCAAGGGCAGTGAGGGCTCCGGGATCCTGGGCTCCCCCTGAGTCTTTTTCCTGCCCCCTGGGTTGCAGGTGCGCTTCCTGGAGCAGCAGAATAAGCTGCTGGAGACCAAGTGGCAGTTCTACCAGGACCGCAAGTGTTGTGAGAGCAACCTGGAGCCCCTGTTCGAGGGCTACATCGAGACGCTGAGGCGGGAGGCCGAGTGCATGGAGGCTGACAGTGGGAGGCTGGCCTCGGAGCTCAACCACGTGCAGGAGGTGATGGAGGGCTACAAGAAGAAGTGAGTGCAGCCAGGCCGGGGGTACTTATGGGTGTGGAGCAGGTTTTGGCCCCTCCCAACTATCCTGGAGGTAGAGATGGCTGAAGGTCAGGGTCATTTCAGGCGGCCACTCAGATGGTTCTGTTTCCTCAGCTGACTCCACCTGGTCTCCGCTCCCGGCCCTTGTGGGCCCTGTCCTGGGGAGATCCAGAGAAAGGAATGATGAAACGGGAGGGTAGAGATCACTGGGCTGGAGGGAAGAACTTGGGAGCAGTCAGCGCTAGGATGGGAAGAAAGGAAATGTCCCTGGGGAGATAGATATATCTCAACGATGATCTGGCCAATGCCATTCAAGGTATCTGATGAGCTCAGATAATTCCTTTATTTACTCAGTAGATAAATCACTGGGCTCTTGTTCTGCAAGGCTCTGCAATTCAAAGGTCCATGTAAATCTTTCATTTTAACCTGACTTGTTTGTTTTGGCCATTACCTGGTTAAAATTCACTGGGTCACTGCTAATTTGTCCCTCTTTACCTGGTAGATATGGACAAAGAGAAGGGCGATTCTGACATAATCCCACTCCACTCCCAATCAGTCCTGGTAATGCTAACTGGAAGTAACTGCAGAGGCAGGCACAACTCTGCAGGTGGCAACGTCTGTCTCCCAGTCTCTGTGAGTGTGAGGGCCGGTAATTACACAGCTCAGAGTTTATAGAAGCCCAAATTACTCTGTTATTAAAAAGTTGTGGAAAGCGTGCCGTGAGAACTCTGGTTCTCCTGCTGGCTGGGCCAGGCTGCTGCAGGAATGACCTCATGGGCAGGAGTAAGACGAAGTGCCAGCAGGTGGAGAGGGGGGTGGAAATGTCTCCTAGCAGTCTGGGCACAGTGGGGTGCTTCCAGAATGTCAAGTCCTTGGATGTTGGGGGAGGGGAAGAGAACGTTCCGGGGATGGCTTCAGGGAGCTTTATGTTTTGTACAATTTTGGGGCTGAAAGACCCTGCCCCAGGAGCATCCGTCTTCCATTCATTCCACAAATAAGTCCAGAGAAACTTCCTGCACACCAGTCAATTTAACCCAAGATGCAGAGAGATTCAATGACTTGCCTGAGTTTTGCAGCCACTTCAGTCCAAGCTTGGACCAGAAACCAGGGACTTGAACTCCGCGTCCAGTATCTTCTTGGTGTGTTCCTTGTGACTGAAGAATAGAAGCCCAGAGGGGCCACGCCTCTTCTCGCAAAGCATGCAGCAAGTGAAGGGTAGAACCAAGGAGTTTTGAAATCCTCAGGCTCTCTGGCCAGCCCAAAGCCCTCCTCCTCAAGGGCCTTTCCACCTGTGCTGTGTCTCCTCAGGTATGAAGAGGAGGTGGCTCTCAGGACCACAGCCGAGAATGAGTTTGTGGTGCTGAAGAAGGTGAGTGACTCTTCCCACACAGAGAGGAATGAAATCTTGGATGCTGGAGGCCAAGTTTATGTCAGTCTAGTGGTCATGGCCAGGCACTCGAGTCCCCTAACAGATGGAGGCCAATTAGTTGGCAATGTCCCTGTGAGAGTGAAATTGATTTACAAGTGACCATGGGAACTGATCAGAGCATCTGCAGAGAGCTGGACAGCAGCACCATGAGGTCTCAGGCATGAGAGCCAGCTGCTTAGGTGGTGCCTGACCTGGGTGCCAAGCATGACCTGCTGGGGCCTGTACTCAAGGCTCTGTGGCCACCACATGGTCATGCTCCATCAGCCAGTCTGGCTCACTGGTAGCAGTCTGACATTTTGGGCTGTGATTCTAAGCTACCCACTTCAGGAAGATTTTCAATCCTGGAGGAATCAGAAAAAAGTCTGTAAGGGGTCAGATTTCTCTCCACTCCCTATTCCTAGTTGGTTCCACGGATGTTCCTGTGATGGGAGAAGAGTGGGCCACAACATGGCCTCGAGGCCCCCTATAGAGTGCTGATGTCTAGTGGCACTGAGCGACCCCATGTTCCCTCCTTTCCCGTGTGTGTCCACCAGGACATAGACTCTGCCTACCTGCGCAAGGCTGACCTGGAGGCCAATGTGGAGGCGCTGAGAGAGGAAATGGGCTTCTTGCAGGCCCTCTATGAGGAGGTGAGTTTCTTCCCATCTCCAGAAGAGCAAGTGAGGGAGGAGAGGGTGGAGGGCTTTTTGGGTTGTGGCTTGTCTTGGCCCTTTGGCTCTAGAGAGGGTTGTCCATCCCTAACTCTTTTAGGGCCTAACCACCCTCTCCTTCTGTGACCAGAGAAGATTTCTCTTGCTCAGGCCTCCTTGAAAAATGAAAACGGATGATGTCCTTCCTTTAAAATGATTTGAAAGACTATGTTTCGTTGCCTGTCTACACAGTACAACATGAAGTAGAGATTTGAGAATATAGGTATAGGTATATAGAGATAATAATGTCTTATTAATTCAGGTAGTATGAAAACTTAATTAGAAAACCCATTATCTGGTTGATTACATTTATACAGATAATTAGAGCTGATATGGATAGATAGTTGGGGCCCCAGGTGGAGTAACCCCCTTTGTCTCTATCCCTAGAAATTAGCCTCGGTTGATCCAGGCTTTAATGGAATTCCACCTTGCTCTTTGCCTTGAGGCCATGGTCCAGATTCCAGCCCTTTTCTCTTAAAATCCCCTCTGAAATTCTCCAGTTTACTTCCTGAAGCTTCAGATGGGGACTGTTTTCTACCTCCAGTGATGGGAATTAGAGGGGGATTTGGAGCTGAGGACACTGGTTGCTATCTCCCACAGGAAATCTACCTTCTTCAGTCACAAATCTCGGACACCTCGGTGGTGGTCAAGATGGACAATAGCCGGGAGCTCAACATGGACTCGGTTGTGGCCGAGATCAAGGCTCAGTATGACGATGTTGCCAGCCGCAGCCGGGCCGAGGCTGAGTCCTGGTACCAAACCAAGGTGATCTGGAGGGCCAGGCTGCCCATTGGGCAAGGATGATAGCTGGAACCCAGAGCTTCCTGGGACAGGGGCCCATGCACTGAGAGGGCCCATGCACTGAGAGGGGCCGCAGCCCATGCACTGAGAGGGGCCGCAGCACCCAAGCAGAGCAGGGGTGGGAGGTGGGACCATGGAAGGACAGAGGGTTCTTCCCAGCATCCTCTCCCGCAATGTTGCAACCATTGGCTGTTTCTCAGTGTTGGTCCCCCAACCCACAGTGTGAGGAGATGAAAGCCACCGTGAGCCAGCAGGGCGAGAACCTCCGCAGAACCAAGGATGAGCTGAACGAGCTGAACCGCCTGATGCAGAGGCTCACAGCGGAGGTGGAGAATGCCAAGCAGCAGGTCAGGGGGCGCTGAGACCTCACCCGGTGTACCTGCTGCTTCTGATCTGCTCTCCGCTTCCCTCCTACCTGGACGGACTGCTGCTCTTTTTGGAGAGGCTTCCAGCTTAACCACCTGCCTCTGAAGTTTGCACAAAACATTTTAGGGGGAGGGTTGGTCTGTCTACCTTCTCTGAATTCTGCTCTGATTTCCCTTCTTCTCCCTTTATCATTTCTCTCCTTTAAACATAGACAACATGGCCTAGGGCAGGTTGTGTCCTGCTGTCTCTCTCCCCGCCTCTCTGGATGGACTTGAGGTGCACAGACCCGAACTGACCCAACGCCACTCTGCTCAAAGTGCCATTCACTACCACCGTCTGTGCATCTCTGCAACGGAGCATGGTTTTTCCTTCATCTTCATTCCATTCTCCTCCATCCCCAGACTCATTCTCATGCAGCTAATATACATCCCTCTTGCACACATATATTTACATACATAGATACATATGCATCCTTCAAAATAAATTCATATAGATTTCTTAGTGTTTTTTTTTAAGATTTTATTTATTTACTTGACAGAGATTACAAGTAGGCAGAGAGGCAGGCAGAGAGAGAGGAGGAAGCAGGCTCCCTGCGGAGCAGAGAGCCCGATGTGGGGCTCGATCCCAGGACCCTGGGATCATGACCTGAGCTGAAGGCAGAGGCTTTAACCCACTGAGCCACCCAGGCGCCCCTTCTTAGTGTTTTAGATTTACATCGTGACATTATGCCATTAATCTCATCTGATTCTTCCTGTTGCCAGTTCAAAGTCATTGACATCCATGCATGTTGCTCTAAATGATCTGTTTTATCTTTTCTGTGCATTGAATGCATTAATATTCATAAACCAGAGTTTCCTGTTCATTCCCCTATGGATGTCCACTCTGTTGGCCTCCAAGTCTTTGCTGTGCCACCAGTTGTATCATGAACATTTTTTAGGTTTTTATACATGAGTGTGTGCTTCCATATACATCCCCATGAGAGATGTCTTGAAGGTATAAAGCAAGAAATGGAATTGTTGAGTTGTAGGATGTTCACTGAATTACTTCCCATAAGAACACTTAGAGCCCTGTGCTCCCACACAGTCCCACCGTAGGCAGGCGGCAGCTTCGGCTCAAACTCGCTATGATCAGACCCCAATTCTTGTGGATCTAATAGGTGTAAACTAGTAACAAATTGCTTTTTAAATTTTCATTTCTCTGGTTAACTAGTGATGTCGAACGTCCCCTCATAGGCTTACTTACTCATTTGCATTTCCCATTCTAAGAACTGCCTAGTCCTATCATCTGCTCATTTTTGTATGGTGATTCCTGTCTTTTTTCTTGACAGTTTGCAGCAGTTCCTTGTCTGCTATGTCTAGATGGGAACCCTCTGTTAGTTCTGCCTGTGGCAGCTCAGCTCCTCTCAGGCTGTCCATTGTTTGTTTGCTTTCCTGAAAGGAAATCTTTAACCTGGATGTGGCCACACCCTCAGCTCTTCCCTTAATGGTTTATACCTATGAAGGTTTGAGGTCACAGAGGTATCCTCTTGCATTCTTGTCTTCGACTAGTTTTATAGTTTTACCTCTCACATTTAGGTCTTTAACCTGTCAGAACTTTATTTTTTGTATATATAAGGAGTAAGGTTTAGGTTAATTTGTTTCTATGGGTAGGAAGAGAATGGATCATGTAATCTGTTCCTTACCCACTGGTTTGTGATACTACCTCTGTCCCAACCCTAAGTTTTCACATATCTGTGGCTCGATTTCTGTCCTCTCCCTTCTATGTCGTGGTTCTTAAACACTGTGTAAGATGTATCACAATTAATTTATTGCTATTAATAGCTGAGGTGATAAAATATGAGAATGGTATTGGAAGTGAAATTAGAGAAGATTGGAAGTTATCCTCGCTTGCATGCTAATATGCTTTTAAAGAATATTTATTTCATTGTGGTAAGAACTCTTAATATGAGATCTACCCTCTTAGTGCGTCTTTAGGTGTACAATACATGATTGTGGACAGTGTGGTAGAGCGGATCTCTAGAACTCATTCATCCTGCTTAACTGAGACTTTGTGGCCATTGATTAGTAACTCCGTATTTTCCCTCCGTCCAGTCCTTGGTAGCCACCATCCCACTGCTTGAGTCTATAAATTTGACTTTTTAATTTTAATTTAAATTTTAAAAAATTTTACTATTTTAGATACTTCATATAAGTGGAATCAGGCAGTTTGTCTTTCTGTATTTGCCTTATTAGACTCAGCATAATGTATTCAAGGTTCATCCATGTTGTGGTATAATGCAGAATTTCCTTTTTTAAAAATAAAAGGCTGAATAGCATTCCACTGTATGTTTATACCACGTTTTCTTTATCTGTTCCTCTGTAGATGGACACTTAAGTTGTTCCCATGACTTGGCTTTGGTGAATTGTGCTGCAATGAACATGGGAATGTTAATATTTCTTCAAGATCCTGATTTTAATAATTTTGGATAAATACTCAGAAGTGGGATTGCTGGATCATAGGGCAGTTCTATTTCTAATTTGTTGAGGAACCTCCACACTGTTTTCCATAGTGGCTGCACCCTTTTGCATCCCCACCCACAGTTTGCGAGGGGTTCAGTTTCTCCACATCCTCAATAATACTGACCTTGTTTTTTTGATAATAGCCCACCAGGCAGGTGTGAGATGATTCTCATGGTGGTGTTGATTTGCCATTCCTTGAAAAGGATGTTATTGAGCATTTTCTTCTGTACCTGCAAGAAATTTATATGTCTTCTTCAGAGAAATGTCTCTTTAAGTTCTTAGCCCATTTTGAAAATCCAATTAGGGTTGTTTTTGTTTTTGCTTTTACTATTGAGTTGTGGGAGTTCCTTCTGTTTTAAGTGGGGTAGAAGGGAGGGGCTGCAGTTAGTATGGTGGGTGGTTAGGTGGGGACTTCTTCTAGCATGCTGATCTCAGTGGGTCAGAGAATGGCCTATGAAAACCTGGGCTTGACACTAATTACACTGGTAGCTTAGGGCAAGTCACAACTTCTCTGAGTCTCAGTTTCTTCATCTGCATAATGGGAATAACCATGCCTGTTCTGACAAGCTCACAGAGTAACTGTAGGCGGGTAAGGTAGATCTGTGAAAGTACCTTGTAAACTAACCACGGTAAACAGACATCAGATAGTATCACCACTTATTACCAGCCCTGTTCCATTGCTCCCTAACGGCTCACCAGGGACTTGAATTTTATAAAGTGGTACAAAAATGGAGCAAGAAAGCCCCAAAGCGCCATTATTTCCCTGCCTCATTAATTTGCAAGTTGACCATTTTGAATGGGGTTAACTGAGGCCATGGGGGACCCACCAGGATTCCCACAGCCTGCAACCCCTTCTAAACCCTTCCCTCCTCTCCTCCCTGACAGCGCTGCAAGCTCGAGGGCTCTGTGGTGGAGGCGGAGCAGCAGGGCGAGGCGGCCCTCAGGGATGCCAAGTGCAAGCTGGTAGGGCTGGAGGAGGCCCTGCAGAAGGCCAAGCAGGACATGGCCTGCCTGCTCAAGGAGTACCAGGAAGTGATGAACTCCAAGCTGGGCTTGGACGTGGAGATCGCCACTTACCGCAAGCTGCTGGAGGGCGAGGAGAGCCGGTGAGGATGGGGTTCAGGGTCACTTCTCATCCCCACTGAGGGCTTGAAGACTGCTTTGCTCAACTATAATCCTCTAAGCAGAAAGCATTCAAACTGGGAAAGACTCAAGAAAGACTCTAGAAATCATGGAGTCCAGCCAATTCTCCATTTTCAGATGGGGAAACTAAGGCCTAGAGAGGGGAAGGAACTTGTTCAAGGTCACAGCTAGGTAGTGTCTTTGCTTACACCGATCTCCTGCTGGTTAGTGTTCCAGTGATCTTTGCCCTCTTACACTTCCCTCTGGCTGCACATCAAGCTTGTACCAAGACAACTGCTTTATCCCATTGGCTGAAAGGATGTTTCTGCAATCACATCTCAGTGGATTGAAAAAGCTGGAATCATTCCAATGGTTTGTTAAAGGTCATTTGATTTGGGGTACACAGGCAAGGAGCCCTGTAGTCCCATGTTCAGGACCAATAAATGGAAATGAGCAGCTCAGTGTCCTTACTTAGCAGGGGAAGACAGGATTGGACATATATCCACCTTCCAGGTGACCAGGGTTAGTGTCCCAGGGAGGCTGTTGGAGGCTTCTCAGAAGAGGAGGTAGAAGAGCTGAGGGGGTGGGAAAGGGACAGGAGACATCAAGCTGTGCTGACAGTTTGAGCCAAGAATCGGGGCACTGAAGTAAATAAAGGAGGAGCAATGTGGATTTACACACGGGGTAGTGATGGGGCCTCTAGCCTAGAGGTGGCCACATCATTATGGCCTCCTAGTTGGGTCCCATCGCTGGGACGCAGGCTAGACTGGGGAAGTAGAATATAAAGGTTAAGATCACAGGCTGGGAGACAGACCACTTGGGCTCAAATCCCAGCTCTACCCCTTACTAACTCTGAACCTCTATGCTTCAGCCTCCTAATCTGTAAAACAGATAATCATAAAACCCATCACTTTAAGCTGTTGGATTAAATGAGTTAATGTGCATAGTAAGCACAAGTAGGAGCAGGTTACGATTAGAATAAGAATCTGTCTCTCTAGGTGGCCATGCAGGGCTGGACCATGGAGAGGTTCCTTATTAACCAGGTTAGTTTTAGAAATCTGACGTGTGTGACACCCAAGGCAGCTGGCACGCTGCTGGATTTGTGCCATGCTTGACCAAAGTGGTCAACTTTTCTGTCCATGTCCTCAGCCCACCAGAGTCTGCCTCCTCCTTTGTACACTTACGCACCCAACCCACTCATTTACACTCATTGAAGCACTGGGCATTTGCGCAGTGAAACTTTCTTTCATTGTAATCATCATCATCGTTAGTGTATTAATAACCCCACCATATAACGAATGAGGCACTGTCTCCAACACATGAGATTTTAAAAGATGGTTTAGTGTGTGGCATCTTGCCTATTGTGGCCATTGACCTTTTAATGATCTTCTCTTCTTGGCATTTAACAAGTTTAATTGGACTACACCAGTAATTCTCATTGCAGAAAACAAGAAAATAAAAGCAACCATCATCACTCAACTCAGAGACAGCTGCTGCTAGCAATGTGGTCCCACAGGCAGTGTGATGGGTAGAATCTTTTGGAAGGGCACAGTTCCAAGGCTGTGGGAGAGTCAGAGTCATGTGGCTGGAAAGTGAGCCCAAAGCATAGATGTCTACAAGGGCAGAAGGGCTCAGACTAGAGCTTTACTGGAGGGTCAGGTTTGAGGCTGGGGATTAACAAAGAGGGCGACATAGAGCAGAAAGTACAGGTGGCCCTGAGGGAGAAGGGGGCCCACTGCATTGATGTAAGTGTCCCACCATCAATGAGATGTTTCTAATGTTAATAGCAAATAAAGTGAATTTACTGGGTACCAGGCTCTATTTGTAGGTGCTTGGCAATATAGAGCTTACCACAATCCTGGAAAGTCTGTATGATCATCTCTGTTTCAGAAATGAGGAGACGGAGGCACAGAAAACCTGGGTGACTTGTCCAAGTTCACCCAGCTAGTAAATGGCTCAGCCAGATTTGTGCCCAAGAGTCCAGGCTCTTAACCACCATACCCTCCTGCCTCCCTCTGCCTTTATCAAGTCAGGTGGATATTTGGGGTTGCATGTAAACTCATGGGATGAAAATGGGTCTATTAGAAGGGAGGCAAGCTTTTTGGTACCTAGAGGTGGCCAGTTAAGTAGTGGTTGTTCCCATCTCTTATTTGGCCATGCTGGAATCTCCAGCCAGGGGACAAGGAGGATAACACTCACTGTAACCCATGTCCCCCTTTCAGTATACCAGCTTCCCATGGGCAAAAACCAAACAAGGCATAAAGTGGCCTTTTATGTCCTGCAACATAACATTTCCTTGTCCTTTCGGGATCCCTGGGAGCAGGGACATTACTGATGCTCTCTGCAGTGGGTAGGAAGCATTCCCCCAGCCCTTCAGCTCTGGTCCCCTTGCTCAGGATGGAGCAGAATAGACCCAACTGAGAAGGATCAGGGAACTCCCTTCTAAATGTTCACTTTCTCTCTCTTTCTCTCTCTCTCTCTCTCCCCGCCCCCTGCAGCTTGTGTGAAGGCGTGGGCTCCGTCAATATCTGTAAGTTGGGTGTCTGTCATGGGCATTGTTCTTTTGGGTGTTAATATTGGGTTGCATCTAATGGGTGATTGAATCTCTGTCTGTGGGGCACTGGGTGGGGGAGAAGGGGACTGAGGTCTCTGGGATCTGGACAAAGGGATGGTCAAGAATATTTGGCCCCTATGCGGATCCATCTGGAACATGCGTGAAACCTGAGCTAATGATGGTGACAAGTTCTGCCCCACTAATTGGTTCTGCAAAAATAGCCCAGGTTTTTCAGTTACGCACAGAATGTTCCTCAAATGGCACAAGTTTTTTTTTTAAATTATTTATTTTTTTTATTTTTTTAAAGATTTTTTTTTAAATTTATTTGACAGATCACAAGTAGGCAGAGAGGCAGGCAGAGAGAGAGAGAGGAGGAGGAGGCAGGCTCCCTGCTGAGCAGGGAGACTGATGCGGGACTCGATCCCAGGACCCTGAGATCATGACCTGAGCCGAAGGCAGAGGCTTTAACCACTGAGCCACCCAGGCGCCCCGCAAGGTTTTGATAAGAAACATGAGATGTTTATTCTGATCATTCGGGGCCACTGCAGGCAACTCTTAAGTCTTTACCTTTAATAATCCAATGTGTATGTAGTTCCTGGGCTAGGTGTCCGTTCTTCTCATCTTTGCAGCAACCATATTTCTAGATGATTCCTCCACTGTGACCATCAGTCTTTGCTCAAAGGCTCTATAAACACATCTCAACATTAGTCTGATTTAAGTAGAGTTAGGTGTCCTGTTGGCTAACCACACTCCTTCCAGAATCAGATTTGCCCAGAGGCAAATCCAGGGTATGGATTTGCCTGGAGTTGTAAAGATTAATGTTGCTGGTCCCTCTGAATATGAGGAAAGTAAACCATTGGTTCCAAGAAATTCTGGGTCATGTCATGTTGGGATGGAAGAGAATTCTGATTCAGTGTCTCCTTCCACAGGTGTGAGCCGTTCCCAGGGCGGCATGGTCTTTGGGGACCTCAGTGCCACTGTCCCTCGTGGTCCCACCAGCAGTGCCCTCCTCTGTTCCCCTTCTGTAGTGGGGACCTGTTCCAGTGTCAGATCGGTGCGGTTTGCGTAACAGGTGTGGGTCTGTTGGGCGCAGGGGTGGGGACAGGAGGGAAAATCTTTGCTCTCTCAGATCCTAGTGTCAGTGTAGGAGTTTCCCCTGGCTGCAAACCCAGACTAACTCTCCAGTTTCCTCCTTACTGCGGTTATGGCTTACCCTTCAAGGGCAAACCCTGGGGATGGCAGGACCGCCACCTCCATTGAGTGTCTCTTGCCGGTGGTCCAGCTTTTTGATAGAAGCTGCTCAGCCACTTTCTTCCCCAATTAGCTTCAGGTTAGCAGACATTTACTAAACACTGACCGTGTGCCAAGCCCTCTGGGAAAGGAGCTGGGTCAGGGAATGGGGATGGGTGGGTAACCTCTGCTTTGCCCTCAGATATGGGGTGGGGGGATGTCACCTCAGCACTTGAGGGCGCAGTGGGGGAGTGGACCAGTGTTCCGGGAGGCCCCTCACTGATCTGAGAGACTGTGCATTCCCCGACTGTCCCCAGCTCTTCATATGTCCAGATGGAAAGGCTGACTGAAGCTAATGGCTGAGGTGCTTATGGTGGGGGGTTGGGTTTTGTTTTGTTTTGTTTTGTTTTTTTGTTTTTGTTTTTGTTTTGTTTTGTATTTGGATAATTCCTGTTATGGCTCCTTTTCTCTTTGGGTGTATGTGATTAAATATTGATGACAAAGTTTTCTCTAGTAAACAAATGAATGCCTGCCTCCTCTGTGGTTTTCCCCACCCCCCACCCCCCACCCTTTCCCCAAGCCCTGACCATCTCAACGCTTCTGCAAGTGTGGTTCCATGGATCACCACCAAATCAGGGTCCCCAGGGGTGGGAGGTGGAGGGGACTTCTTAAATAGGTAGATCCTGGACTCCATCCAGAACTACTGAAGCAGAAGTTCCAGGGATGAGCCCAGGAATCTGAGTTTAAACAAGCTCCCGTGTGATTCCTAGAGGAACTAAAACTGAGAACCATTGGCTTATGTGGGCAGGGGGAATAGGAGGGTCAGGTAATTCTGACCGTGGAACTGACTTCCTCTCTGACTCTCACAGGATCAGGTTCATCACTTTGCATTTCTCTTTTGATTTTGCCAAAAGATCAGAGCCAGTCTGGGCTCCCCACACCTGGGTGGGGAGGAGGCGAAGGTGGAAGAGGGTAAGGGACAGGAATCTGTATCCACAAGCACCTGCTAAGTGTCAGGGACACTGTGTGTGTATTTCATTCTTTGTTCACAGCAGTGACATTATTATCTTCATTTTATAGATAAGGAAGTCCAGGCCCAAAGAAGTTAAGTACCTTTACTGAGGTCACACGGCTAATCCAGCATTCCAACTGAGGTTTAGGGAATGCCAAAGTTCACATACTTTCCACTGTCTTACCCCAATTGTTCCTTCAGACTAAACATCCTGGCTCATCAGACTGTCTCTGGAGGAGGGGTTCTAACTGACCCTGCTTGCTAGTCAGACACTTCAGAATAAGACACGGAAGATGACAAAAAGGGACCTTCTCGAACTATTGTAGAAACAACTCCCGTAGTCTCAGCTCTCTAAGAATCTTGGACAGATCTTCTTATGGGACAGTTAATAGAGGCCAATTATGCATTACCCCAGAAGTAAAACCCAGACTTCTGGTTGGAGGACATTTTCCCTGACGGCCTGGACAGGGCAATTGATTGGGGAACTCTGCCTCTGCCCTATTCCTGAACTGATATTCCCCAAGAAGTCCCACCTGGGGAAATCTGTTTGGAGTCCCCTCTGAGGCAAGGGGTATCTCCCTGCTGAGGTGGAGAGAGGGGATTCTGATGGACAAGTTTCTTTCATTTGATTTATGGGAAGAACTCCACTTCTTCCACTTTATTTATTAATTTTTTTTTGGGGATTAAAAAAAGATTCAAAAACAACCTAAATGGGTGGAAGCTATTTTGTCATGAAAATGCATATTTGATCTCAAGGCATAAGAAAAGCTATGAGCAGTTCTTCGGGCAATGCAGTCCTTCTGATGCTTTCAGAATGTGTCTGCAGTAGGGATATTATTCCCCTGTGACCCTGAGAGGACCAAGATCTTTCTTAGTGTATTACTCCCCTAGTCTCTGCCTCCTGGCCTTGGAAAGTCCCACAGGAGTTGCATGCTGGGCACACCACAGTCTGGATCCCACCGAGTTTGAGTGGAAGTAAAACCAAGTCGAAGGGCCACTGGATCTGCTCTGAGGAGGGAAGGGAGACCCACTGGGCACCTGCTGCCCTATGGCAGAACAGGGAATGAAATGGGGGAGGGTCTGCCTTTCCTTTCTGATGGTGGTGTTGGAGGGTGTGGAGACACATTTTTGTGTCTCTGGTGTTTTCTTCATTTTTAATACAAAAGCTCATCTTTGGGGCACTTAGTCCGTTGAACATCCAAATCTTGATTTCAGTTCGGGTTATGATCTCAGGGTCATGAGATTGAGGCCCGCGTTGGGCTCCATGCTGAGTGTGGAGCCTGCTTGATATTCTTTCTCTCCCTCTGCCCCTCCCTGCCCCCTGCCATTTGCTATTTCTCTCTCTCTCTCAAAAAATCTCATCGTCTGTGCACTACCTTCACCTCACTCATTCCTTGGCCACCCACCTCCCACCGCCCCTGTCCAATAGCACCAAGAGAATAAGAGTGGGCACTTTGGAGAACCTTTTGTTTTTGAACAAAGTGGAAGTGGGCAGGGATTTCCAGGGGGCACAAAGGGCATCTGTAACAGTCAGAGGAGGGGCAGGCGAGTGGTGTGAGGCATTTGAGATCTCAGCCACTCCCCAGTGCAAGTCCCCCTCACCTAAGAGAGCACCACCTTGTTCATGTGTCCTCACTGCTCTACCTTTCAATGAATAAAACTCTCAATACAACCTGTTCTTAATAGTCATGTTCCCAGAGAGTATCAGTGGCTTGCATATGCAGACGGGGTAATCCCAGATTGCCATTTCTAGTGTCTTTATCTATTCCAAAGAGCAATATGCTTTGTGATTTCCTTGCTCATGTGGTTAGTTTACACTTCTCACTGTGCTTGGTTCAGGTGAGTAATGGTACCCATCCGCATTTCCTGGGATCCCAAAGACTGAAGCAGGGATGTTGGAGACACTGGGCAGGTTGAAGGGGTTGGGCTGGGAGTGGGTGTTTATGAGGATGGTCCAGACAGAAGGTATTTGAGACTCGGTGAAGGGGAACTTTTGGCCTCAGAGAAGAAAGAGAAGATGCTAACGCCTAGCCTGATCTGATTTTTTAAAAAAGGATTTTAATCCATACTTCCCTCATCCTTTGGAGACCCTTGTATTTTGCGGGGAGTGAATATTTGAATAAGGGTAGAATACAAACAGAAGGTCTGATTTTTCTCTGATGGAGGTCTTATTTGGCATGTGGAGTTTCGAGAGAGAAGGAGCCCAGGAAAGGGCTCTGGAATCACCCACATGGGCCAACTTTATTGTTTGGGTCACTTGCTCTAGAATTTACCTGATCTCTTGATTTCAGACCACATGACTTCTCCTTAAAATTTTTGTTCTAATTAAACTTTAATCCTCCATTGTCCTTGGATTATATCTTTTGCTTTGTGTGGAGAGTAGTTCTTGCATCAGGAGAGGGCCCTGGAGCCCCAGGATCCTTTGAACTGGAGGAGATTACGCTGCATTTTCCCTGTTGGCAGCAGGGAGGGCGGAGGAGGGGAGATCTCATCCTTATAAGGCATTCTTATGACACCTCTGCTTGGCCCAGTCTGTTGACTGGTCTTTGTGCACAAAGCATGGAAACTCATTAAAAACTTATTATTATCTCCCAGCTTGTGGCTCTTTGACTTTTCAGTGCATCATGTCCTATTTTGGGGATACCAGATTTGGCGTCTTAGTTGTGTGTGGCCCAGACCCATGGCAACATCTAGGTGTTTCCCCCACAGACTCACTCCAGCAACCCAGAACCACGGGAGGTAGCAGAGCTGAGGAAGGCTCTGCTCACAGATTCCCAGGTTGATGTAAAAAGTGTGAAGGCCACTTCCTGCCCCATGACTTACTGAGACATGGCAGAGCTCATGCTCAGGTTTTGATTTTCAGTCCCTGACTTTTAACCTTTCCTGTGGACGAATGATATGTCCTAAATTAAACTTTGGGGGTACCTGGGTGGCTCAGTGGGGTTAAGCCACTGCCTTTGGCTCAGGTCATGATCTCAGGGTCCTGGGATCGAGCCCTACATTGGGCTCTCTGCTCAGCAGGGAGCCTGTTTCCCCCCCCACCCCCAGCCTGCCTCTCTGCCTACTTGTGATCTCTCTCTTTGTCAAATAAAAAATAAAAATAAAATAAAATAAATAAAAATGTATAAACTTTGTCCTATTGCAATTAAGACCATACCCTTGAGGCGCAGAGAGGTGAGTGAAAGGAGGGAGGTGGGCGGGAAATTTAGAGCAGACCTGCCTACTGGCAGCCAGCAAAGCTCAAACAGCAGCAGCTGGAGTTCCCAGAAGAGGCCAGCGGCAGCCCAACCCCCACCCCCTCCATTGGAGCTGCAACCCTTTGGGCCTAAAGCAAGGATTCATCAGAACGCACAGAGCCTTCACTTCTCTTCTCAGGGAAAGGCTGGGGGATTGGGCAGCGGAGGGGGCTGGCAGGTGGATGTCCACCTAGAATGGTGACAGTAGGTCTGTTTTCCCAGTGGAGAAAAGGAGGGGAGTCCAACAGGGCTGATATCTACTCCTCCTGTTCTACAGATGCCTGAGTTCATCCAACCATCCCAGGCCTGACATGTCCTACAGCTCCATCCTGGGGGTGAGGTGTGTGTGTGTGGGAGGGGGGAGGTGTTCAGAGCCAGGAGGAGATACCTCTGCTCCCAAGGAATTTCTAGCTTGATCCAGGCTCCATACACACCCAGTCACATCCTGAGCCCTGAGCCACAAAGTTAGAACCTGAGATCCTCAGGGTTGGAGACAGGGTGGGGCAGGGGTTGGGGGACTGTGCATGTGGGAAGGAGTGTAGGTAGGAAGAACAGAGAGAGCACTGGGTGAAGGCAAATGGAGGAGAGATGTGGGATGGCTTATGTGTCCCTGTGGGATGGTCCTGGGGCTTAGAGTGTGGGCTTCTCTCCATGGGGTGGAGTCTGCATCTGGGAAGATCGGCACTGGGTAGAGGGTGGTTGCACAGGGCTGAGGAGCTGGTGGGGAAGGAGGAGATGGAGGGAGGCTGGTGACTGGCATTAGGAGCACAGGCACATGCCGGAAACTGGTTTGAACTAGGTCGTAGGGGCTGAGAGTGATCTGGGGGTAGGATTTTAGGCTGCTTGGGGTGCATGGGGGTAGGGAATAAAAGGTCATTGAGGGAGCTGGAGCTGTGGTCCAGGCCAGACTGGACTGAGGAGAGCTGAGCTGGAATCAGGCGATGGAAGCGGACAAGAAGAGGTACAATCACTGGAGGATTAGGGAAACACCGCCTGGATCTGGTTAAGTGTTGTCAGCTGGGGATGGGGCTGAGGG